CTGTTCACAAAAAAATTGAAAACCAAATTCTCAGAAGCGTAATTTCCAGCATTCTGAGGATTGAATAAAGTGAGAGCAGTGTTAAGGACAGTTTTCATTACGATTATTTTCTATGGGTTAAGTCTTGCTTTTGTTGTTCAACGAGGTTGTTTCTTTCCATTATGAACTGTCAAAGGCCGTTTGTTTTTAAAGAACTTTAGATAGAGCGGCAGCGCGGTCCGAGACCTAAAAGCGATAAAAGAACGGTGGCATAGCTGTAAGGGAATTTAACATTTTCTATGTATTCTAGCAACAGCGTTTAATTGTCCTAAAATAAGGTTTGGTGCAATGATTGTCATATTTTTCCAAAGCCGCTGGCCTGCTGAACTGACTGTAGGGCCTTATATACCCTCTCTGTCCCGTTATTCTCACTTGATAATACGTATTTCTGCTTTCAGGGAAACCAACAAATGCTTCAATTATTGAAATGTTTTATATATTTTATTCCCGGCCTTTTAATAAAACTGCTTCTTAGCATGTATATGGAAGATGCGCGTTTTAAAGACAAAGAGAAAAGGATTCGAAATAAGTCAGGGGAGAGGATGGGCGTCGTCTTGTAGCAGAGTAAACTTGTTGTTTATGGCATCACTCAATGTGTTCAGGACTGAACGCCAATATTTTGTGCTTCCGGGCTGGAAATAAAGAGAATGTTTAAGAATAGTATCTTTTAAAAAAACCAGACCCGGGGGTTTTCCTATATTGGCCTACGGCGGGGAGGCTCCGCCGAAAAGGGTTATCTATGTTGGTGTTTTTCATTAGCTAGTTTCTTACACAGTTTGTGATTAGTCCGATTTGAGTTAAATGTTGACAAGCCAAAAACAACTAATATATATATACCAAAAACGAGAAGTCCAAAGACTAGAGCAACGCTGATTCAGAACAACGTGTGTTGTTTTTTCATAACAATATTTCGACTGGCCATACCAGCCTTCCGACAACCTTGCTCGACATAGCGGTATAAGAAAGGGTGGTGATTTCACTAGTTTAAGTATATTAAAGTGTAGGGAAATCTGTCATTTGGGTCTGTTAAAGGGCCCAATAGGGCTAATAGATGAATGAAATGGCTTTGAAAAGTCCAGAAAACGTTCTGTTTTTGAGATTAGTAGCCTGTTGACAGACTCTCTACTTCCTCTTCAAAAGTCCGTCGAGCGCGGGTGATAAAATGTAAACTGCAGGGGATTTATTGACCACCAGTGCAAGGAAGTAGGACCAAAAGAAAAATAAAACAACGTCGGTGTACAGGCTATTCTATGTAAAAAAAAAAGTGCATTTACAGCAGTCAAAAGGGATACAAAGTTCTATAAACAATATAAACAATCATATGTGGAAGAGGCACCATTTGTCACTGATAGAAGGTATGCGAAAGGGGACCTTTTTCGTCAAAAATGGTATATAAAAGGGTAAGGGGTTGGATTTTCTGGAGTTTTCTTTTTGTTTTCATTGTGGTTTGCATGAATTTTTTCAAGCGTTTTGGCCTGTATAAAAATAATGTTTTTGCTTTCCCCATCCCTCTCCATCATTAAATTGTTTTAACTGTCCGTTCCTAAAACAGCAAGCATCGGACGAGAACATAACCTACACTTAGGCAGTATTTTTCGTTTCGCTTGCGCCGTAGACCATTTTCGCCTGCGTAAGGCGAAACGAGCGAACTACAAAAGAGAAAACCTTCAAAAAGTGAAGCAGGTCCGACAGGTTAAAGAGAGAGTAGTAATCCCGGTGGTGACAAAATGAAAAGAGAAAATCGTGGCTGGGAAAATTCCCTGTCACATATTTTTATGTGCCGGGTTTACGCTTTTTTTAAGTGTTTGCCTCTCCATTCAGTCACACTGAGAATTTCTCTATTTGCCTGTATTTGTCAGCATAATTTTACTTGAGCACAGAGCATCGTTTTCAAACATTAAGCATTTTGAGGAAAATGAAAAACGTCACCTTGAATGTGCATTTTGTTGATCTTGTCTGAGTTTTCTTTCCCCCACATGGGAAATAAGACGGTCTCAATGGGGTGGTGGCTTTTACGGTTATTCTCTAAAATTTTGGCTCTTCTACGGCTATCGGTTAATTTTTTTCCGGTTACGGTTAACGAAAAAGTTAAAAATTAACTTCTTTTGTTTCAAAAAGTTAAATATTAATTAACCTGCTTTTTTTTCTGTATCTTTAAATCAAAATAAAGGTCTTCGGATCATCTCGGGATGAAATAAGCTATTCTTTTGAAAAATTTTAACATTTGATAGATCATACTTTTTATAAAGTATTGCACTTCTGATATTATTTTACACATAGAAATGTCAATAGTCAATTTAAAAATAATCTTTGTGAAAAAGCAAAAGCAGACACGCGAACGCCCAACTCAAGGCCGGGGCGCGACATTCATTATAACAGAAATGGCCGTTTTCACACTAGAGAAGGATTATTCGTGTGAGACGGGTTATCCGTTTGATGATTCGCGTCAGATAGGTGATACGTCTTAATTTGGCAATGGAATAGTCTTAATTTTGAATAAACAATCCGACTGACTTTTGAAGACAGGATTATCCATTCCAGATAGCCTGTGTACAGCCGCCCCCTCCCCTCAGAAACAAATCGGAGAAGGGGTTTCTGTCGGGAGGGCGCGACTGTACACAGGCTAGTCTCAGACGGATGATCCATTTCTAGGTCTAGTGTGAAAACGGCCAATGACAAAATTCCCGTGTCCAGTGTTTTTAATGATGGCGAAGGACTGTACGGAACGACTGTCTTGCCGTTGCCTTGTCCGTAGGCCGCATTATTCCGCGCGGCTGATGCCTTTCGGGTCATGTGGTCCGAGCGAGTTCGCCACTGAAATGCCTTGACCGAGATTGCGTGGGAAGACGCCGAACAGGGACTAGGCATGGCGATGTCTACCGTAGCGTCCGAGAAAAACAGGGAAATGTTGTTTATCAGCAACGTGTTTTACAAACACTTACATCTCTGCGTGTTGTTTCACTACTGTTTTGAGGGCACGGCCCCCTGAAAATTGCAAATATTAATCCCCAGCAGGAAGCCACACTTTCGCTATGGAAAAAATTAGTTCCCCAAGAAAGCGCCGGAAATGGAGCCTAGGTCTTGGTTAACACCTAAAAGGCGCTTCGCCTAACGTGCGTACGGAGTCACACTAGCCGGGAAATAAAAAACGCAACCATAAGTGAGTTTAGTACCTTCCTTAAAAGTAGCAAATCTAGGGAACACTTTCTTTTGCGGTGAACTCTTTTTTACGCTATTTACTGCTAACGGTTAAATTTTTTTAATTTCTACGGCTATCGGCTGAATTTTTGGCCGTTTTACGCCTATCGGTTAACCCCATTGAGACCCTCAAATAAAACAAACGAAAGAAAATAAGAAAACACTTCAGAGCACAAATGCAGCCCATAAGTCCTTGCGGCAGGTGCGATTTTCATTAGGATGAGAGCCTGGGGACGAGGTGCTCTTCCAGTAAACAAAATGGCCTCTAACTGGCTCAGTTCGCTCAGTCAGTTGGGCTATACACAGAGTTGTGTGGCACGAGGAACAGTGTCATGGGGGAGTAAGGATAATGATGCGGCAGGAGAGCTTCAACTTTGGTGTCATGAGAGGGCTAACTATCACTACCTTTATGCCAGCAATACAGCGGGACTTGACACGGTGGTATGTAAAGTTATTGATGTTTTTACTCTTCACTTCTAAAAGTGCACTGACAAAATCAAAACGTTATTAACGAAGAAGTCGAAATTTCATTTCAGAGTCTAATACTGAAAACAAATAGTACCATGTGAGTACTGATAAAGGGGTTTCGTCCAGGGGCTCAAGAGTAAGAACTAAATGTTGTGGTTCCATAATTGACACTGGGAGTGACAGGGTTTTAACTATGTACAATTTAACAATTATTTATATTAAACCCTTTTTATTTAAAAAATTAGCTTATTTATGTGTTTATGCAGTCACCTTAATGTATCTGTTGTAATTTTCCAGCTCATGTAATTTTTTGTTTTTCTTTTGTTTTTGGGTATGGTAATGTATGCTAATAAAGTTGAAACAAAAGAAAAATAAAAATTACCTGACATAAAAACTTAACTACAACATATCCATTTATTATTTTATATGCTTTGTCCTTCATTAAACATTTAAATACAGTAAACACCTACTAACAAGAACCTGTGGATTAAGAACCTTCTGGCAGAAATTTGCCACTTTAATACCCATGCAAAAATACAAGAACCTGTTTAGCCGATCCTATGTTGCAGCCAGCCCACACACTCGTCTAAACCATTTGTTTAGTCCATTTGCGAACAAGTGCATAAAAGTTCATTCTAACATCCTGCAGAGTCGCAAAGACATATGTGAGTGTTTGTGATAGGTAGGTTTCTTGCGGGTTAACGTTAATGTTATGCGCCTCATGATTGGCCTAATTCTTCGCATGCACAGTGACATGTCAAAATTCATGGAAGGGAGTTGGCAATGATCGTTTGCAGTTTACAGAAAATAATAAAAGAGCACTTCAAACTTTAAAGCCTTTCTCTGTAGAGAAAAATACTTTGAGAGAATTCCTTGTGATTTTTTTATAAGAATTTGCTTGTATAAATTTGCCCACTGGTTTTCCAGCATCTTCCAATCACTGCAGATGCACTGTCGCGTATTCTGCAATCTAGCCGACAGTTCTAGGCTTCTAGCATCCAAAAAAAAAAAATTCAGGAAATCATTATCTTCACAGCCAAAAATAAAACCTACTACATGTTGCTATCCAGGTCCAGGCATTATTTTTAGAGAAACCAAAGAAACTAAGGTTATTTCGCCACAAGAAAAAAGCATAAGGCTTGAACTACGGTGGCCCACAGGGGACATGCTGCAAATAAAAAAGTTGCTGCAAATTAAATAAAATTGCTGCAAATTAAATAAAGTTGCAGCAAATAAAATAAAGTTACTGCAAGTTAAATAAAGTTGCTGCAAATAAAAAACAATTGCAGCAAATAATGAAAATAGTTGCTGCAAATAAAAGCAGTTGCTGCAAATTAAGTGACAGGAAAGTATGCGCACGCATTGATGGGAAGAGAAGGACTCAGTATAGTTGTAAGGAAGTTAAAGGCAGACCTGCAAGGACTCCCAATGTGGTTTTTGTGGTTGCGTTGAATTATCAGCTACCTTCAAGTTACATTTTTGCACTCAAGCATGTCTTTTGTAGGATATGATCGGAGGTCTTAAACTGTTTTCAGCACTGCAGAGGCTGATTTCTTATTAGGCCTGTAGACTGCAGTTTGCCATCAACGTCTTTTTAAGGTCTTGTACCATTGGGTTATATGTTGTAATGAAAGGCAATAGTCTCTCTTTATTTTTTTTGTTTTTGTTTTAGCCCTTATCAGTGCCTCGAGTCAAGGTTGACCCCTGACAATGACCTTTCTATATCTGGTTTAGGATTTTGTGTGCTTCGAGTTTGCAAGGCACTGATCTTCAAATGTCTTTTTTGAGGAGTTTTTTCTAATCAATCTTATTAATTTTCTTCACCTTTAATGAAACTTCTTTTTACCCTCGTAGGTGGAACTAGGTAAAGTGTACATGTTGAAAGGTTTTAGTCGGCTTATAGTGGGATTTAATGTCCAATGAAGATGGATTTCTCTGTGAGATGTTCTCCTTTGAAAACTGTTGTATCAAGGAAAGTTATTTCGTTATTTCATATTTCGGCCGTGGACTTCATTTTTGGGATGGGATTTGTTAGTTTCTGTAAGAAAAAGTTGGGTCTTTTCTGTTACAGTCCCAAAGAAAGGAAACGTCATCAATGAAACATTTTCATTGGTATTTCTATGTTGGATTAGGTTTGTTCCAGTCTCTGCCTTGCAGATATTTGCAAAGGACACTGCTGTTTTTATGCCTAATGCAACTCCATGGGTTTGACGATAATTGTTTCCATTGAACTCAAATAAGATTCCTGTCACTGAGGATTAGGCCAAGCATTTTGTGAGTGGGCCCTGGATACAACTATACTGAGTCCTCCTCTTCCCATCAGTGCGTGCACATAATTTCCTGTCACTTAATTTGCAGCAACTGCTTTTATTTGCAGCAGATATTTTTTTTGTTCGCTGCAATTATTTTTTATTTGCATCAACTACTTTTTATTTGCAGCAACTTTATTTGTTTTGCAGCAACTTTTTATTCGCAGCATGTCCCTTGTGGGCCACCGTATTAAGTAGAGGTAAAAGAAAATCATTTTGTGGTAAACTGCATTTGTGATCAAATCCTGTCAGAAAACATCTGTAGAAACATAAACCATAGGAACTAATTGCTCAATATGCATGGAACAGACCAGCAACCTCAACCTCTAAATGTGACACTCAAAGTGGTAAAATAAAATTTGCTCAGTGTAGAATACTCCATGCACTGCATAAACTACACAAAAAGAGAGCAAGAAAAACCACTGTTCTTCAAGCTGACTCTTCGGTCACGTTAATTGCACTATCAAAAGCTCAATCTCCCTTCTCACAAGCTATATATCATATAAATTAGTTGTGTTTGGCCTGTCAATGCTTAATTCAAATCAGGCTAATCACATTAAACTGTGTAACAAACGAGCCAATCAAAAATGCTCACATATGTCCTTGCGATTGAGGGATTCAAACATGATATTGTGAAGCAAGTTAAACCTAAGAAGATCATCATTGCATTGAAGTTACATGTAAGCTTAAATTATGATGAACAATTTAACAAAGGGAGGTAACTATCAGTGGTAAAAAGGGGGGTACCTATGAGTTATTTTTTAAGTACATATTCATAAGTCTCGCTTGCTCAAGAAATGAGGAGGCAATTACATCTACATGAAGCAGGATTTTCTTGTGACAAGTTTTTGACTTCCTACTTTATCGACAGTCAAGTATTCTTCAAGATATTTTATTTTATATATTGTATTTGACAATTTGTTTCTGAATTGATTGAATACATGTGCATAAATACACGAAAATTAAGGGCCTAGATTCGAGTATGAGAGAAATTACACCATTGCCAGAGAGCAAAAAAAGTGATGAACATGGCATGTCATTTCGGTCATCGCTAAAAATGAAACAATGAAAGTTTACAACACCCGACCAGTTAGCCTCACCATCTGCCCCATTGATCGAAGTTTTGCTCATTAAGATTCTTCTTTTACTCGACCACTTGTTCCAAAGTAATAACCACTTTTAAGCAATAGAATTCGTGGACCAACCTATTCCGGAAAAGCTCTAAATCTTTTGCATTAACTTTTCCTGAGCTTTCTTCACAAAACATTCGTGGCGAGCTCCTGAGTCATGCCACAATTTGTTATATCCCAAGTTTCCATGGTCACCGCTATGTTCAACCCTGCGGGGACCATGTCTTCTCTTATGTGGACTAAATACAAGGAACAAAACATGGCTTACAGATTCTGAATCTGCAATTGAGACTAACAAGAAATTTGGTCATCAGTTTTGTTAGGGTTATATGACATAATACAATTATTATGAATAACTTTAAAAAGTTTAAAATTTATTTTTGTGATTTTAAATCAACAATCTATCTCCTTCATATGTAAAAACTAAGAACCTAATTGAGAAACTACATAGCCTAAATTGCCATTAGGTACCCCAAAATACAAGAACCTATTTTGCCAGACTTCAAAAAAGTAGGCTCTTATTTGCTGGTGTTACTGTACCTCATTTACCAGTTTTATGTAAATGATTGGCCACCATGGTAGCTTTATGCACCACAACAATAGGTTCATGAGGAATTGAAGTGAGTGAGTTCACTTGATTCATGTAAGAACTTTTAATGAATAAACCAGTGCTGTGTTTACATTTGATCATTACCAGTTCACTGAGGTTATTTTAAAATGCCTTTCATGTTTAGTGTCAGCAGAAAATACATGTACATTTAACAATATTAAAACTGTTCAAAAAGTTTAAAGAAAAACTTGCAGTGACTCCAGGAGGTATTACATGTATACCTGCATAGGTTCATGAGAAAATTGAAACTGTTACCCTCCACACCAGGATGCAGTTTATACTTCCCCCCATGAATAATGCTGGTCATCCAGCTCATTGCTTTATATTTCACAATATAATTGTGGTATTCACTGTGTTATGGTCATGTTCTATTAGCCTTCTTTTAACTTGTTCTTAACTGTTTACTGGTTCTTTCATAAATGCTCTCATAGTACACTGGGCAAAACTGTTCTGGATTGATACATTATACAAAAATATAACAAGCCAAGGAACCTCAGTTATATTTTTCTCTTTTGAAGTTTATCAAATTCCACACATAGGAAAATTTGATTGTGCAAGGGATGCAAAAATCACATTGTTTCTAAGAAAAAAAAAAAACGAATAAAAAAATGACGGGTTGTTGTGTTAAGAATATCGTGACGTTTTTGTGGATGTTTCAATTAAAGCATATTTCAACGGGAAAGCACAAGGGAAACTTAAGGACAGTCTACAACTTATTTGACCACTCAAATATAGCCCTTTCTTCAGACTTGCGTCATCTTAAAACTCTTCTTGCCACTAGGTCGGTCTTCCGTCTGTTTTGAAGATGGCAGCCTGTTGCTGACGCTCTGTTCCATGCTAGCAGCCACGAAATGCTGCTGTGTTAAAGCATAGTCGGCCAAGAACTTCTGACACTGCTATGTGGGCCTCTCTAATAGTTGCTGGACTATATTTCTTGGCTTTTCTCTCAGGGGCTTGCCATTATTAGTCTCACGTTGTGTTGCACAACAGCTTGATTCAAACAACTCTGTGGATTTGCCTCGTGGCCCTTCAGTGGTAGCATGTACATGTATATATGTATCGCAGCTTGAATCTTTTTTGACTCTCTTAACTGCTGATTTATCAAAGGATAATTATGCTGCTGCACGTAAATGACTCAATCCAAGTTATCTTTGCGGCAAGATTTATTTGGAGACAACATTCTAACATGACAACACTTCTTTTTCATCGAAAAACATGTGATTTGTTTTTCTTAAAAATTACATGATTTTGTGTACCTTGGTGATTTTGTTACCAAGGTTTGATATGCCGTAATGCAATTCCTTCTTGTGTGATCAACATGAAAATATTATTCCATTACATGTGGAATGTAATATTGTTTTAAAGGACAAAAATATCATTAAGGGTCCTTATAATGGCTTGTTTTATGGATGTTTTCTGGAACTACACATTACAGTTTACTCAATCACAGTCAACTGTAAGTTGTGAGTCAGGCAACAAGTAACCCTTGTGTTTAAGATGTTTTGTGGTAGAAGTAGTTTTTAAACTTTCTTTGCAATATTATTATTTCAACTCAGTTGCTTTAAATGTCAGAGAGTAGGTTAAGTTTCTTATGATTTCTTGGAATCGAACCCATTACAGTTGCACCTCTCTAATACAGACACCGAAGGGACAGAGCGGGGGAGTCAAGTGTCCGAATTAGAGAGGTGTCCATACAAAAGAGGTCACTACGATGACATCACTTAAATTGTGACTCCACTTACAGTTTTAAGTGTTCACTAGCTAAAACCAGGCTTACACTTGTCTTGAAACTGCATTGAAGCTCATTGAAGTTTATTAATTCACAGTACTAAGACACTGTCTTTCAGTAGCATACAAAAATAATTGTACATATCAGCTACATACGTACAGTCGTAGACATATCACTGTTTTAAGATCAAAAGAGCTACAGCACAATGCTGGATGTAAAAAGTTGTAACGTAAAGCACAATTCTGAAAGCGCCTTTCGCTATTTTGCAAGTAGTAAACAGTAACTAGAGTACAAAATGTAATGGAAAAGATCTTCATGGTATCTGTAGTTATTGAAGCCTTCAAAAAGTTGTTTGGTATACAGCGACTGGGCTTTTGAAGTCACCTTGCATAGCTCATCAGCCAGACTAGATGGGATTTACCCGTGCAAATTCACCTGATCGAGATTCGGAATTCACCTGATTACTAGAGCGTCCGTAATAAAGAGGTTAGGTTTATATTGAATATACTCTCTGGGGCCAAAATTTAGTGTCCGTTGTCTGTATTAGAGAGAGTCCATATTATAGAAGTATATTTTTAAGGTCAATATAGGAGAATTTTGTCAGGACATTGGAAACTGTCCGTAACATAGGAGAGGTGTCCGTGCCGAGAGGTACGACTGTAGTTTAGTAGGAGAAAGAGAAATCCATTTGTGGTGTGTTTATATCCTCCATAAAAAGTCCACTAACAGAGGGAATTTTATGTGGCTTTTATGCAGTGATGTCAAAAAAGTGTGTCTTCTTGTTTGGCCTAGGAGAAGTATAAAATTAATGTATTTTGCTTTTTTGATGTCTTTATTGCTGTTGCAGTTGTTGTTGCTACAGCTCTCTATTTTGATCTGAAGGGGCACAGTGTCATGACATATGGAAAAACCCACATACATAAATTTGTATATAGTGAAACTACCGGTTATTACGAAAATGTTGCTGTGTTGTTAAGCGGTACTTTTTACGCCTACAGTGTAAGTGCAAATAAAAATGAAACTTTCATCATTAATGAAGACATGAAAAATCATGAATATTTTGTTATTTGAAAACTCAGTGAGGCTAATATTATTATTTTCAGCTTGAATTATTCTTGCATCTTGAACAGATTGCCACCCTTTTCTGAATTTTCTGGATCCACCTCTGGCAGATGCTGGTAAGATGAGTTCATGAGAGATTTCTCCATTTTCCATAACTAATTATTTAGAGACCAAAAACCAATTCCAGCATACAGCAAATAATACAAAATGTACATGTATGTAATGCATGCCATTATCAAAATGGAATAAATTATGCAAAAGATTCCATTTAAACCCCACTAACCCAGTAGCCCAGAGAAGACAGTAAAAATAACTCAGGTTTGTGGAGATGGACCAGATGGAGAGATCTAGGTTGGGAGGTACATGGGAAAGAACTAATAATTTCTGTTGTCAGGGACTTGACTGACAGCCTTCTTTGTGTATTTTCCCACAGTAATAACAGTTGCTTATGCTTGTCAGTAGATCGATGACAAGTGATGATGGTGTTTTCATCCTTTTTCTAATCACTTTTATTGCTCCTGCTCTTCATTGAATGACCTTTCCATGTTGTTTTTTCAAATCTAAATCTGCCAAAGGCTGGTCCACAGGATGTAAGATTTTTCGATTGTTTTTCTTCCTGTGGTGCTGATACTTTGTAAGCTTTCCTTTGGTTTCTGAGGTTAAAATTGAAATAGCAGTTACAAAAACAAACTGCATGTATACTGCTAGTTCAAATGTAGTTCAAGAAACTTCCTCTTCTTGGCTTGCTATTATCTCTTTCTAAGCCACTGTATGACTTTGTCATTTCTCTTTTTTCAAAATTTGGGTGTGATTGTAGGTCATGTGTATACTGAAAAGCCCTACTTCATTATTACAGTACCAGTATGAAAATCAACTCTTTTAGTCATTGGGGTCTGAGATATTATTTTTTGAGGTCCCCAAAGTCTGTCAGCAGCCCATGTTATTTTTGCTATATCATTTATGGGTACTTTAATTTTGGTTTCGGTTTATATTTAAACATTCTCACAGTTCCCTTGCCCTGTTTGTTCGATGAAGTTAAGCTCTGTCAGGCGGGGTTAGTACTGGGATAGGCGAGACCTTTTGGGATATAACATGTAATATACTTTGACTTTAAGTCTATTTTTCAGAAGAAAGCAGTTTCATTGTTTAAACATGCTTATAGAGCATGTTGTTTCATGTAAACGTTTTAGAGTGAGAAGAAATTGCAAAGGACAGAGTTGTCACTAAGATTTCAAGTTGCCGGGTAAATACAGCAAGTAGGCGGGCAAAGAAACAGCTAGGGCTTTCTTTTGGTTCTATTTTTCTTCTATTTTCCTTTGAAAGTAGCCGGGGGCCTCGTTCATAGTAGCCGGAGGAAATCCTCCGCCCCCGCCCCTTAGTGACAGACCTGTAAAGGACTTTCTTTGATCATATTAGTGCATTTATTGTAAGTAGCTAGGCGGGAAGTGGTGAACTCGAGCTGACAGATAGTTTTCATATCATCTGGCTTGTTTATAGCCTGCAGTGCAGACAGCCCACGTAATGTGTAGAGTATAGATATAGTTGGTTTAAAGAAGGTTTAAAGTCAGCGGCACCCAACGACGGTTTCCTCCTACATACATTGAAAACACTTTTTAGGCTATCCATGTAGAGTACTTTTACATCTCTAGAAATGCATTCTTAGCGGTGCTATAAAATTTTTATCTGTTCGGTCACCCTAGGGCAACTTGAGTCTGTTGGAAATTATTAGCGCTCCAGTATTTCTTTACCGAAAATTTTAGACGCAATTTAACGTTTTACGAAAGTGAGAATTTTTCTTATTCCTCTCTACATCGCATTTTTGAGTCCGAAAATTTTAGGTTTCCTTTTTACTACAAAAAGTAGCCTAACCTGAGGAGTAAAATGTGAAAACTTCAGAAAATCGTAGCGGATTTATTCGAAAAGCTTCGAAAACTGTACATGAATGGAACGGTCATCCAGACATTTTTAGCCGTCCTCAAGTAATCGAATATTCTAGGCAATATTTGCTTCTCCGAACAGATATTTTACAGAAAATTAACAGTCGTTGAATGCCCCTGTAAACTGTCTGCGGCGCAGGCTAGTTTGTTTATAGTACAGTGTTGTTGTAAAGTGCAATGAAGTCAGCCAGAGCCCTGCACCCAATAACAATCAGCCAATTACAAGTCATGTTCACAAGGACAGTTAGTTGCCTATCAAAAACAAGATATCTCTTCAAATCTCGAAGTGCCACCGCCCAAGTGTGTTCACTGCACTAATATTAATTAAACTTAAGAAAATTTTGTAGGTTTTAATAAATTGTATATTACACTTGAAAAAAGAATCAAAATTTTGTTGAGCCATTACCCCATGCAGTATATATATGCTAACAACCTCATCCATGTTGGTTTAATTGAGCAAACAGTGTAATTGATCATCCTCTTTTTGGGACACCTCCATTCAGGGGACACAAAATTTGGTCCCGGAAAATGTGCACATAATCTTTGTATTTATTACCTCAATTAAAGGGACGAGTGACCCTATTCAGAGGAAAGGGACACTTTTTCTGGGTCCGGAAACCTGGGTTTATTTTAACCTCCATTATTTCAGGAGACACCTCAGCACTCAAAAAGTGACTGACCACAAAGAGGGCTGATATCTTTAAAGTGCACACTAATCAAAAATGGAAGCTTTTCCAGACTGAACTGTCTCACATGAATCAATGAAATGCACCTGTGTGAATTCAAGATGTATCAACAACTTTATTCAGTATTACCATTTCTGTACAGGTGTTACCGATTAAAACAAATTAAATTAAAAAATAAGATAAAATAAAATAATAGGGAGTTTAAGATACCATGACGGTGATGGCCACAAAAACGTCGCTTAAAAAGTGAATTTCCATTCTTTCAGTCTCTATCGCGATTACTCCAACCATTTACTTTGTCAAATGTGAGCGAAGTCTTTTTCAGCCAAATTCCTAAGAATCATATTCAAGTTCAGGAACGGGGGCGTAGCTAGGATTTTTCGGGGGGGGGATAGGTTAATTACGTTCCACATAGCATGAATTGCTCTATTTTAGTTATGAAAAGGAATGTGGTCCACTGCAAATGGAGTAAGTAACAATCTAGCACTGGAAAAGATTTATTGCATGTTTATTCTTCAGATTCGCGCGTTTTGGCCACCTGAATTATAGGGACATAAAACAATTATCTCACAAAGAGGGGGGTCTCGAGCACCCCAGGACCACTCCCTAGCTACATGTATGCCCCTGAGGAAGAGAAAGATAATGTAGCCGTCGCTTGTTTACGTCCTCCATAAATCGTGAAAATTGGCATTTTCTTGTCCTGGTCTTGCAGTGATGGCTAAAAAAATGTACAAAAAAGTTTGATGTACGTGCAGAGTTGTTGTTTTGCCTATTCATTTCAACCTATTGCCGTTATGGCATCTTAGAGTCCCAGAATGACAATTTCTTTATGCTGTCTTTGTTGCTTACTTATTAACAAACTCCAGCCCAACCTCTAATCAGGGGGAACCTCTATTCAAGGGACACTTGCTTTGGTCCTGAGGGTGTCCCCTGAACAGAGATTTGATTATATTGTATTTGGTTTATTTATTGCTTCAAGTTTATTTTTTCTTTGTTTTCACAGCTCACTTAATAACTTTCTGTGCTTTGCACCGTGAGCCCGTTGACTTTCTTGATCGGCATTATTATGAATATCTTTGTTAAGACTTTTTTATGCTTCATTTCTTGTACAATGTACGAGTTAAAATTCACACCAAATAGTATTGCATGAAACCTGAAATGATGCGACAATGGCCGCTATTGTCAAGTGAAATTTACCCTACATTATAAAGTTATTCTTCAGGTATTATTTAAGTCAGTCCGATAATGAGTTTTTTGTGTGTCTTGCATAAAAATAGTTATCATCTTAATATTTTTTTCTTACCACTTATTACCCTTCTTTGTTCAAATTATAATCTTTCATCTAATGTCGGGGAGAGAAGATGTTGCCTGGCTTGCTCATGGTAGGGAATTAAGGGAGATGTGGTGTTGCCCTCTTGCTCAAGGTCTGGGGACAAGCCAGGGACCACATGGTCTAGTGTATACTGGGCAACCTCATAGGGATTGGCTGGGAAAATGAACAAAAAAAGTAACCATGGAACCTAGCCCGAAACAAAAGAGCTTCGACATATAGGAATCCAAACAAATTAGAGGTTCTAAAGAGCTGCAAGGCTATGGTTTTGACAAATGATTTTGAGCAAACGGGATTTCGGAGGGAGTAAAGCTACGACCGGAAATACGTGTGCGTTTCGCAGGCTATGGTTAAATGGGGTGTGAATATGGTAGTTTTCAGTTTTATTTTATGGTACCGGAAATGCTTGCTAATAACAAGGTCCCTTTTTTTGAAGTAGGTTCTTGTTCTTGGGGTACTTATTGGCAATTTAGGCTAGGTAGGTTCTTAATTAGGTTCTTACAAGTAATTTTTATGAAGGACGTGACAGATTGTTGATAATGAAAAAATTTTTGTTTATTCACAATTATGATAACCTTAACAAAACTTATTACCCAATATCATGCATTTTAGTACAGTATGTTTCTGTTGCACTTAAATTTACAACTCAAGGTTACTCTCCTTTGTTAAATTGTTTATCATAATTTAACTGTAAAAATTAACCACATATAAGAACCTGCTTGATTTAGCTTGCCTAAACAGGTTCCTGTATTCTTAGGTATTAAAGTGCAGATTTCTGCCAGGAGGTTCTTAACCACAGGTTCTTATTAGCGGATGTTTACTGTAACTGCCTCTATAGTCAAACCAGTCAAACCTGTATTAAGCGGACCTCTATAAGCGGTCACCAATTAAAGTCCTGGAAATAGCTTCCCCTAATTATTGTAAAAACCGATCTGTATTTAGCAGTTACCTCTATTAAGCAGCCGTGGTCACCTGTTTCCGAGGTCCCAATGAGTAATTTGTTATTGTCTTTACGTCTATTAAACTGTCCCTTTGACAAGATGTGCCATACTAGTGCAAAAGTATACACTGTGTGGGGTGTTTAGTGGTCTTGTACAGACTTGTCAACCCCCAAAAAGGATAAAAATGTGAGATTCTGAACCTAGAGCTGGGAAAAGTAATGCAGAGAAGTGGGTATAAAGTAGCGGGCCGTAAATTATGGGGCAAAACAAGGATCGTGGTTAATTTTAATAGCGGAGCTCCTCGCGCGCGCGAAGCGCGCGCAGAGCGGAGCACCATGGGTAAGAAAATTTGGTAAACTATCCATCTGAGAAAATTTGGTTATGACGTAGCGTACAGTAGCGTAGCCGCAATTTTAAAATGTTGATTTCGAACTGACCTCGGACGCGAAAATTCAACCGGCTTTTACATTTACATGCGGGGAAGACAATCATTTTTCACTTTTCTCACTGTCACGCGTTGATCACGCTCTACGTCCAATTTTTATGTTCTGATTGGTCAAAATTTGACAGGTGAGTTCATGCGGAAAATTTATGCAGCGTCTGGAAACTTGCTCACTGACAGCTGGAGCTTACAGAGTTTTGTGTCATCTTGTGATGTTTTAAACTGGCTTTTTCTACTTGGTGTACAAAACGAAATACAGCTGCTATCAAGATTGTTCTGTAATTCATGGCTGGTTTGTTTATTGCGCTTTTTGTTGACAAATGCACCGCTTGTCAAAGTCATTGGAAATCCGATTTCAGATGGCATCGTTTTCAAAAATGAGCTTACTCACTTGCCCTTGCTGGAGGCGTAAGAGGGTTGAAAATTCTGGAACACTTGATGACCTTCAGAAGCAGCATTTCGACTGGTAAGCCTGAGAAATTGTTGTCTTTTATTTGTTTTTTTTTCGGTTTCCTGAAGTCGAGCGTATGGTTTATGCGGCTTAAGTTTATACACGAGCAATGATCTAACCTACAATAGTATCAGGTTTAAAAAGCCTTTAGAAATGTTTTGACCGCAAATTCAAAGAAAATTATTTACTTATGATTTTGGCTGTAAACAGAAAGCTCTGAGCGATTTTCTTGCCTCGAGTTCATCTTGAAAAAGAGCAAACACCGGGAAGCCGGCTTAAAACATAAATAAACTTATGCTTACCTGACTCATGATTTTCAAAGACACTTTACTCTCAATACTTCTCTTCGTGAATGAAAATTATTGTCTCTGTACATGTTTCACCGAATTATATTTATTTTATTGATTGTTTATAGTCCCTCTCGCAATTTTTATCGCTGCACCGGTTGTATCCAGTCGAACATAAACATCTCATGCAGGAATACTCAAAACGCCGCGCGTAAATATCACTCGCTTTTAGAGATTACACATACCAAAACCATACACAGTTTAATAAATAAAGGGAAATAAAACCTAAACATAACAATTTATCTATCATGTTGAAGCGTAAATGGTAACTCTCAATCGCACTGCAAATTTGGTGCCTGTCAAAAGTGAGCCCCGTCCGGCTGGCCGAAAAGTGATTTTGGGAATTTGTTTATCGTTTTCATTAAAAGCCCATATTACCCTGCATATCACATAGGACCAGATTTTTCTAACTGAAAGTCCTAGCATTATAGAATTCTCTTCATGAAAACGTTTTATAATTCAATGCTATAATTTCTTGTGCAAAGGAAGGGCGTACTTTGATCGTCGTGGATATTGAATGAGTGCAAATTCTCTTGCAAAATTGTGAAAAACTGCAAAATTATAGGTTTAAATAGGGCAAAAAAGAACAAATTCTGTCCGAGGTCTGTATGATAAAAACAAGGGCCTCATAGTACTGTTTACCTGAGACGTGATGAGAAAAAGTATGTTTAAAAGGCTGGTTTACACACCACCAGATTCGTCGCCAAGATTTACTAGTAAACTAAACTTGTCGAACACAAAAAATCCGGCCTGTTTTTTTATTTTGGCCTCTCTTTTAGACAGAGGAATGCAACGTGTAAATTGGCTGCCACCAAGGACTATCATGGCGCGTGTGTTTCTTAAAATTATATTTCGGGGTTGTCCAATTATCCATAGTCTCTCAAACGGAGCAATGTTGGAGAGAGTGGTGAATGCCACATTATGATGCAACAGCTAATGCAAATACAATACACGAATAGGTAGGTCTATTTGTTTTCCAGGCCTAATCTACTGTGATCGAACATGATTGCTATTTTTGGGTGTACAAGTAAGACTATTTAATGACTCGATGTAAAAGCTGTTTCACTCTTGGAGTGTCAAATTATTTTTCTCTAAAATCACTTAGCCTTTGCCTCAAACGTCAAATGAATGTGCCCTGATCTGTGGATTACAAGTTTATTGTTTGATTTAAATTATGAATTTATTAACGGGAGCTTCGCTTTTAGCCCTGGCTAAATCTATATATTACTGAAATATTACAACTAAACCGCATTTTGGTACCTTATGGGTCAAAAAAGATGATGAGGGAAAGGATAGATCTTTTTGTTTTTTCTTTGGTCCGTACATTAAATTGATCACCGAAAATTTACCAATCTAGAAAAAGAAATATAAGTTATGGTGAAAAAAAAGAACGAAAATATAGATATGAGCGGTCTTGACAAATGATTTTGAGCAGAACATATTGAACTCATTTTGCTGTAACTGAGGGCATAACTGTTTATCCTGGAGCAAGTGAGACCCCAGTGAAATGGACTGTGAATAGTTGTGTTTAGTTGTTATTTTACAGAAACTACTGCCACTATAGCCAATGTAAGTTAAATTATATCATTATATTTCCTTTCCGTTTCAGTTTTACATTATATCTGAAACTACAATAAAGGTCACCAAGGATACAGTTACGATTAGTGAACTACTGGGAATGGAATCGAGGGCTCCTCAAAAAGGACAAACTGTTCAACTAAAAGGTGCTGATCCAAATGAGCTTCAGCTTTTTATTGACAAGATGCCCGCCACTATTAAAGGTAAGAGTGTGAAATATGGGTTTTGATAAAAAGAGGAATAAGATTAAACTGACTGTATGTACGTAAGTTTAGAAACAGGTAGCTCAAGCTTATGACGAGAGTAGTTAGTTTGGTTTTTTGAATTGAGAAGCATATGGTTAAACCTGTACATTTGTAACAATAGCTGGGCTTAAATATTCAAAATTGAATTGATGAGTGAAATATCCAGACTTAATTTCCTAAACATTAACGCTTATAAATTTGGTGAATTCGCAAGAGGGGTAGACTACTAGAACACAATTTATCTACTAGAAAGCAGCAACGTTTGTAGGACACGATGTCTGGCTGGCCCCAATTCTAGTGATTAGGAGTCAACAAATCAGATCATATTCCAGACTAAATGAAAACTTAGAGTAAAATATTAGTCTGAAATTCAGATATCAACTGAAGCGAGTTTTTCTGCCGTTAAAATTTCTCCTGTGACCCTGACTCGTTCCCAGTCTTCTCTTATCATTTGTAAGCGGTCTAGGGTTTGAGAGAAATGTTCTGCTTCAACTCAGGATAGGATATAGATTTACAAGTCGTTTTTTCAATGAGTGTTAAAAGGACATAATTCTCTGTTTTTAGACGCCCCTTATGTGCCTTGCAGTAAAGAATCCAACACGTTTTTCTTAGACACTTTTCAGTGGTGAATCTTATTAGAGGTTGAAGTATATAAATGGTATATTTAGGGTAAAAAATCGCAATTGACTATTTGACTTGTGAGAAAGCTTATATGTTTTACGAGACTTCGTTTTTTAAGTAGTTAAAGAATTTAGTTGTTTTATTTTACATTGTCACATATCCCTTTAGTTTTTACAATTTGAGTTCAAAACTTGTTACATTTCGCGTTAGAAAGTTATTGCATTTTATGTTAAAGTTGTTACATTACGATTTAATTTTACATATTGCTTCACTTGTTGTTACATTTCTCGTTAAGGTTACATTTTGCGCCATAAACTTCGTCTCTTCCCCTCCCCACCCCCCCTCCCCCGCCGACTATAACGACCAGTCCAACATTGTTTTTTTTTTGTTTACTTTAGGCCTAGCCGGGCTAAACGTCGAGCTTTTCATGTGACGAACCAAACTTAGTGAGTTAAGTTGTCATGAAAAGTTCGATGTCTGGCTCAGTTAAGTTCGTTTGAATGAGTTTGGATCGCCCAACACGTTCTATCCGTCTGCTTTAAATTTGTATAGTCCCTAAATATCTTAAAAACTTCCGCGTAATTTTAATTTCGGACTGGATCGTGTAGAAACGTTTTTATATGAAATCCACAGATGTATCTATATGCCTAGTAACCTTTATTAAGATACATTTGAATGGGCGAAAAAATGAGAACTCGTTCAAAGAAGGGGCTATATTCTTGGACACACGCTTCAATATTTTGTGTAAGAAACTTTACAAACAAGCAACATTAAGTGACAATCGTGGCGAAACGGAATTCGATCTGATTTTCATCTTCTTCAACAGTATCTGGTTTATGCTCATGTGTCGCTCAGTCTCGAGAGAGGAATGCAGTCCACATGAAATTTTCTGTGAAGTCAAAATTTCTTTTTTAGATGACACTTAATATGTTTGCCCATGTTACAATGGTGATTTTGATTGCCTTGTTTTGTTTTCGATCATAAATTATCTTTTCAGAAAAAATGCAAGACCTACGCGAAGCAAACTCCCCAGGCCGAACCTCAGAATTAGAAAGACAGTTGAGGGATTTTCAGCAACGTGAAGAAAACTTCCAGAGACAGTTACGGGAGATGCAGGAACGCGAACAGAATTTACAAAGGCAGCTTAGAGTGGTTCAAGAACGGGATCAGTACTCTCAAAGGCAGCTAACGGAGTTTCGTCGACGTGAACAAAATATGCAGCGACTGTTAAGTGAGCTTCAGGAACGAGAACAAAATTCTCAAAGGCAGTTGACGGAGTTTCAACAGCGTGAAGAAAATTCTCAGAGGCAGTTGACGGAGTTTCAACAACGTGAAGAAAATTCTCAGAGACAACTGAGGGAGATGGGACAACAGTTGACCAATTGTCGAGGACAAGTTTCTGAACTACAGTTAAGTCTTTCAACAGCTCAGCAAACAATAAATCAATTGCGTAACCAGGGAACACGTGACTGGGTTATTCCCCGCGACGAAATTCAAATCACAGAGAAATGCCTTGGGAGGGGAGGATGGGAAAGTGTCAATGAGGGAATGTATTGTGGCTGTACTGTAGCAGTGAAAGAAATCCATGAGTTGATTCTCTCCCCTCATAACATACGTCTTTTTGAGAGAGAAATGAATATTGCATCCAAGTGTCGCCATCCTCACTTACTACAGTTTATCGGCGCCACAGTTGACGAGGGAAGTCCTCTGTTTGTGACCGAGTTGATGGAGAAAAGTTTGCGGACTCTGTTAGAACAGCGGCAACTGTCCGAAACAGAAATACGCACCATTTCTTTGGATGTAGCCCGCGCACTGAACTATCTTCACCAGAAGAAACCAGAACCCATCATTCATCGGGATGTCAGTAGTGCCAATGTGTTGCTATGGCGACAGGGTGACCAATGGAGAGCCAAAGTGTCAGATTATGGTACTGCTAATTTTATACAGCAGACCATGACAGTGGCTCCTGGAGCTATGATTTACAGCGCACCTGAAGCACTTACATCAAACCAAACAGTCAAGGTTAGTTTAAGTGAATATTCAAGACTTTTTACTTACTAAAACTGTACAGCAAGGCTAACAGCGGCAGAAGTGAAAGTGACCCTTGTCCTTTCGCCCAAACTCGCTCTCTTGTCCACTCCACAAACAATTCAACATTCTTGAATTGAAAAATGACCATATCTTTGTCAGGAGTCTTTGCACCTTGTTCTGCACTTTTTTCACTCTTTTATGTTCTTCTTCATGGATTTTGTCCACGTAATTGGATTTGTTAATTTATCCCTTCTTTTCTCTAAAGACAACAGTTACAGGATGTCAAAAGTTAGTATTTTTAGAAACAAAACATTTAAGCCAAGAACTTACCATGAAGCCTTTTAAGGATCTTCTCTTTTCTAGGCTTTTCTTATCCATTTATCTATAATCATCTATTTCGTTTGAATTCTCGAGATTCTCCCGCTGGTGTTACTTTAACTCTTTTTGTAATCAGTATACCACTAATAAGTAACGTAAATAAAGAATATTCTGGCATAAAGTCATGTATTATGATTGTTTTTAGGTTGATGTCTACAGCTTTGGTGCTCTTCTCTGTGAAATGTGCATCCGGGAACTGCCAGATCCTACAAGGCGACAAGAACAAGTCGTGCTTGTAACGAACGGTGTGTTTCGCGGCCTGGTACGGCGATGCCTGCAGAGAGAGCCTGGGACGAGACCAACCATGCAGGGAATAATCGATGAACTGAAAGATGCCAATGTATCATCATAATAGAACCAACGCTACACATAGTACGCGCGTTCTGATTGGTTAAAAACCTATGGTTTATTGTGCCGGTTAACTCAAAGAAAACTTAAAGTTATTTTATAAAAGCAATAGACCACACTTTCTATGGGTTTACCGGCGTGATAACCCACTTAGGATGTAGGGAGAACACTCGAAAAGCCTTCAGCTCGTGATTTACAGGCTTTTCTCGTGTTCTCCCAACATCCCGCGTAAACCCATAGAAAGTGTGGTCTATTGCTTAAGTGAGTAACATCCTTGTTCTGGGCCCCCAGCGGACGGAACGAATCAGTTATCGGAAATGCGTTTCGATTTTCTCTTTAACCTGATTGACAAATTGGCAAGGGCTTTTTTCAGTGGATAACTGGCCAATCATAGCGCGCACTCAAATCCTGGTACACAAGTGGGGTCCTGAATGAACAACGGTTTCAGCGCTGTTTTGCAGACGAACTTAACCAGAGGATTTAGTTCCACCGTCTGTGGCGCAGGCTATAGATATGGCGCTTATTACAAGTTGTAGAATGTACAATTAAATACGCGCAGTAGCCAGCAGTTACGGTAGACTCAAAGAAGACATTTATATTTGGGTTTCCTACGCCAGCATTAGGTAACTTACTCATAAAACAGGGCGTACTTTAATTCCAGTGTTACTTACTTATGAAGTCGGTTGTAGACGTAAAATAGATTAATTTGACTGAATATCGCTTATGACAAGATTTAGGACAAAATTAAACACCCTCCATAGTAATTAGCAATAACGGCTGACATTTGTAATTATTAAAATAACTAAGATAGTACGCGCGTTCTGATTGGTTAAAAACCTATGGTTTATTGTGCCGGTAAACTCATAGATAATGCGTTTCGAGGGCTTGTAAATCTCGAGCCGAAGGCGAATGATTTACAGGCTTTTCTCGTGTTCTCCCAACATCCCGCGTGTGTTATCATTTATATACTGGCAATAGGTAACTTACTTATAAAAAGGGATTCGTTCCTTAATTCCTGTGTTGCATACAGGAAGTAGGTTATAGATCAACATTTACGTGAAATAGCCGACTAACTTGACTGAAGATACTAGCAGATATGTCGCTTCTAAAAAGTCATTTAGGATATACCACTGAGTCCGAGTGTAGGTCTGAGTAGGTCATACAAATGAAATAGACAATGTTAAATAGACAATATGGAGTGAAGACACAAGTATATGATGGCTTATGAAACGTTTTAGCGTTTACGATTAAACCTGCGTGTTAGTAAACAATATTTGATAATTAAAGAAACTAGTAGATGTGTAGCTTATATATGATGTACTATAATTAGAGTTTTCTATTCAACGGATAAGTCGACTTACAGAGCCAGGATTTTACCCAAATTACGTATTAAGTATACACTGAGTATAGGTCGTACCCTTAAAATAGACGATATTTTAAAATAACCTAGTAGATTATCTTGCTTTTTGCAAGTCTTACAGGACATTCAATAAATATACAACTATGCTGTTGAAGTCGAGGTAGAGGCGATTTCTCTCTTGTTGAGACTGTTATGATGAGAGAGTGCCATGCTCGAGACCCCAGTGCATTTATTTATGCCAGTAATTCTGACAGGAATGACATCGTAGAGATCATCGTATTCTCTATTTTCCAATTCCCCATAATACACTCTGTTTGCCCCCCAAATTTTGCATAAACCATTGTTTTTAAATGCTCTTGGGAGTATTGCATTTTCCCAAGAGCATTTTAAGACAATAAGTTATGTTAAATTTGGGGGGCAGACAGAGTGTATTATGGGGAATTGGAAAATAGTCAATACAGCTCCGCGCAGCTGCTAAACACATCGAACCCGCATTGTTAGTCGCCGTGCATTTCTTGAAAATTGAAGAGTGTGTGTAAGCTGACTCTCTTCTTTCTCAGCGCTTGGAACTCTGAACGCTGAACGAAGTTAAAAGTAATACATTGATCTTTGCAAATTAAGAAGTTGTTTTGAAACAGTCTAGCCTATCTCCGGCCTATGCAAAATACGAAGCCTATATTTATTAAGGAAATCCCGAAGACAATGCCGAAGTTTACCCGTTTCTAAAAATTGTGTGGTCCTACAGTGGATTAAGTTTGAAGGTGGAAATATCACGGTGAGGATAAAAGCTACCAGTGGTCTTCAGTCTTCAGTGACTAAAACACGGCGAGTCTGCAGTTAATTGAAAGACTTGTAATTCATTGTTAAGAGACAAAACTGGTACATTTTAACTTGAGTTTTTTCAAATGAATGTCGCTTGGTTTAGCTTGATGTGGAGAGCGCATATGTGTCGACAAAAACGAAGGGCGCTGAAGATTGCAAAGAGTTTTTACTGACAGAACCAATTAAACGATATACATGTTAAGCATGTTGCGGCAGCGTCTACGTGCACTTCTTCTTGTACTGTATCTCACATCAATCCAACCTAATGCCTGAATGCAGAGAAAATAACTTTTGACCGCGTATTAAAACCGTCTGAATCCATGGTTATCATATATGAATATGGTCCCAAGTGTTTCGATTCAGACCTGTTTCTGAAAATTAGTGGTTGTTCAAATGCCTAAATAAGGAGTGAGCTTTAAAAAACATTCGGACCTGTGTCTGATAAATAGTGGTATCGACTGTACATGTTGACTTGGAAGAGAACCTTGCAGGAATCGGTAACGATGAAAACTTTGCTTTGTCTTTTTGGGAAAGTATGAAACACAATGTGATCCCGCTATATTTGTTCTGAAGAGCTTCTTGGTGTAACGAACCAAGCTGTGGAACTGTGAAGGGCAAATACTTTGACAACTGGTACGTCATTTGCACCAGTGAACAAACCCATTTCCCGACAAAGATGTGACCACGCAACGAACAAGAAACCTGTTTTAGAAGGGATCACGCACTGAGAAGGAAAAGGAAGAGAAAGAAAGAAAACAGAGATATACAATGACATTTCCAACCAAAGAAGAAGTCAATTTTGCACTCCGGTTTGAAACGTTTGACCTGCCATCCTATGGCAAAGAGTCAAGCTGCAATTCTAAAGGTATCCTGGAACGCTACGTCAGTACAAAGACCGGTTGTCGTTTGCCAAATGTCCATTCCTTACATAACCAGGTTCACATAGTCGTGGGTGGAGCCATGGGAGATGTATCCTCTGCGTCAAACGACTCCATCTTTCCCTTCATCATTCCTTTGTGGATCGTATTTATGAGAAATGGCTTCACAAGTTCAACAAGAACGCTTCGGTTCTTTCAACCTACAATGCACCCAAGAGACACAACAAAGATGACGTCATTGCACCACTTTATCCTGTGTATACTCATCAACAGATGTTTAAGAAGTCTTTCGAGTTCGGTTATGACTACGACGATGTTGACGACAATGGTAAGTACACATGACGTTTCAACATGACCTTCCTTTACTTCTTCCTTTACCTTGAATGCGATTTAGTGTAATTGTAGTGTAGCCCTTTGAGGGAAAATAAATTTTATGTCACTTGAACCCCACTGTACGGACACCCACTGTTAATTACGGACAGTTTTCTTTGTTCCCCGGAGAAAGCCATTTCCTCTCTTAGATTCAGTCCCTTGGGAGTTCAAATGCCCCCACCCCCCCCAAAAAAAAAAAAACTGAAAACAAGGCTTCTGCAAAACTTTGGGGTGACAAACAAAGAGCATTATGGGTATGTTATGGCGTTTTTCTGTGGTGGTCAATAGTCGTTATTGTGAAAAACCGACACGTTCATCTTTCCAGTCAACAAATATAAATTTCTCATAATTGTATTAGGAGGGAGAAACCAACATTGAACATGCGGCTTAATCATCTGAGCTTACTCTTCTGTTTTAATTGGATTTTACTTTTACTATCGTTATCATGATCAATATCGTGATAGTTATCATTACTTATTTTCTTTATTTTTGCTACATATTATTATACCTTTGAAGAGATTGAAAACGTTACGTTTTCCCTAATGTGTTATATTTGTTACCTTACTCTTATCCAGGATAACGTTACGTAGATTCAAACAAACCTTTCCAGCTTAGGTTGCGTAGCAGGCACCCATTGCGTCCAAGCGCCTTCTGTACGGGCTATACTTAGCTTGCATTTGTATGGTTTGTTTTCTTAATTCAGACCACGTGATGTTCTCTAAGGAATTTGCCTTTTTTCCTTTCATAAATTATGCATACTTAATATGCACGTGAATGCACGCGCACAGGTCAAATTAGAAAGAGGCAGTTCTCTGAAGTAGCATCACTTAAATGGGGAAACAAAACATACAAGCTAAAAAGGTCAATTGTTATCATGAGTTGATACATCGATCAGTGCCAATCGTATCAGGCATCATGCACCATTTATTGTAACTTCAGTCATACGTGTATCACTTGTAACTGAACTGATCAGTGATCGATCGAAACATGCCCTGCCCTCTAAAATAAGTAGCTGTTCACTTTTTTTTACCGATTCTTATCCCAAATCTTTAACAATATTTATATCGCTTCGACGCCGGGATTTGAACCTGGGTCACTTTGGTGACGGGGGGGGGGTCTAGTGCTCTCAGCACTGTTCTCGACCCCTGCTTCCCAATGTTAGAGAAGATTACGTAAGAGTAGGGCTGAGAGTATTCGGAACAGGGAGCTAAGCTGGGCATAGCAGAGTAGAGTAGAGTAGAACACAAGAGAAGTGCGTTTAGCGTTTAGTCAATAAAAAAATACAGTGTATAGGGTTCTGTTAACTCGACCCTGGATATCTTGAATTTGCGTCACCGTGGACTCCCCAAGTTTATCACTGAGATTTTACTTTGGATAGTTTGAATCCCTGCTGTTTTGAGCATACTACAATGTCCAACCAACTATGTCTCCCTTTGAATAATTTTAGCACACTTCTATCAATATAGCTACCTCCGTCGATACCCTTAAAGATCAAAATGTGTATCGTGTTACCTGTCCTGTGCAGTTCAGTACAGCATTTTATCCGATTTGATATCAAATTTTCGCTTCTTCTTTGGAGAGTCGAGATTACGACATATGCAACTGCAAAAAGGGAGTGCAGACATAAATGTTTAAAAAA